GTATTTATCCATGTGTATATGTGCATGCGTGAGTGTATCTGTGTGTGAGTGTGTGTGTATTTATCCGTGTGTGTGTCTACATGTGTGTGTGTATGTGTCTCTCTGTGTGTGTAACTCTGTGTGTAAGTGTGCATATACATCCGAGTGTGTTCGTGTGTGTGTAATAGAATTGTTTGGAAAGGAGACTTGAGGATATGGCCTTGAAGAGGGACTGAGACTCAAGAGAACACAAGATTCTCCCTGTAGCAAGCTTTCTTTTGGGGCCCCCAACTAGCACCCAAATCAAGACACGGAGACTGCTTATTAGTTGTGAATAAGCTCGGCATTATCTTAGCTCTTATTGGAATCTTTTTCTCTTTATCTGTATTTTGCCTTGGGGCCTTTTATCTTTCTTTTCTTCTGTTTCCGTTTCTGGCTGACTGACTTCTGGCTCCTGGCATGAATTTCTCCTTCATTATCTTTGTTCTTCTCTCCTTTTCCTCCAGCCTAGATTTCTCCTCCAACTTATTCTCTCTGCCCGCCACCCTGCTTATTTCTCTCCTAGGTCACTGTTGGCGGTTCTGCTCTTTCTTAGACCACTCAGGTGCCTTAGGCAGGCAAGGCGAAACAAATGTAGCGCAAACAACTGTAACACATCCTTACAGCATTAAACAAATGTAGCATAAATAAATGAAACACCTATTTACATAGTGAAAATAATATTCCAAAACATTTCCCTTGTGATTTCTTCTAATCTTTCACCTTCTCACAGTCCTCAACACTGACTATCAGGTTGTGGTTGGAGGCTGCTTGTTCGTTCCTGGCCTCCTAAAGCTGAAATAATCACACAGAAACTGTATTATTTGCCAATAGCTTAAGCTATATTATTTGGTCAATAGTTTAAGCATATTTCTAGCTAGCTAGCTCTTATATCTTAAATTAGCCCATTTCTATCAATCTCTATATTGCCACATGGTTCTGGCCTACCAGTAAGGTTTTGTCCAGTGTCTGGCATCTGTCTCCTGTGGCGGTTACATAGCTTCTCACTGACTCTCTCTCTCTCTCTCTCTCTCTCTCTCTCTCTCTCTCTCTCTTTCTCTCTCTCTCTCTATATATATATATATGTGTGTGTGTGTGTGTGTGTGTGTGTGTGTGTGTGTGTATGTATCTTTTCCAGCCTGACTATATTCTGTTAAGCCATTGGTCCAAAGCATCTTTTTTTTTAAATTAACCAATGGCAGTAAAACATATTCATAGCATACAAAGGGAAATTCCACATCACCAGATTACCAGATTGAAATTTTATTTTCTCTCCTTGATTCTTGGTAATCAAGATTATATACCAGGGAGACGTCTGTAACCCTGTATTCTAATGGAATCCTCAGTAGGCACAGGCGAACTGAGACACCCTCCGGAATGGTTCCTTACCATGCCTCCTGTTTTGCTCCCTGCCTCCTGATATTTCTCAGCTGCCTTTATCTTGCTTATTCTTCCCTTCCCTTCAGTTCTCCAGTAAAGCCAGTTGTATCACTAGCCTAAATGTTGGCTGCTGGGATTGAGCCAAGTAGATAGAAACTACCCTGTGTATTAGCAAACGTGGTATAACTACTCACTTTTCGAGATGGTAGTGCTACTTCAGGTGGTCTGACTCAGAACCAAGATCACCCTGAACCAACTGTCTGTGATGTTTCCGTTTAGTAAACAAAAGCGGCTTTGGGCAAATGATTCTGCAGAAATGAAAATGAACCTTTGTATTAGTTTTGTTTGTACAGAATATAGAGCCACATGAACATTCAATATGGGATGCCAGATGTCTTTGCGGCAGACTCCAAAACACAAAAGGAAAAGTCCATGTCCTTGCCCAGTAGATGGCACTCCTCTACTCTAATGAAAGCAAGTAGCAACATAAGGTAAAGATGCCTTTCATAATTGGAGCGTCCTTCCTGCCTTCCATCCCCACAACACCTCCTCTGGCTTCCATTCTAGACCATGCAGCTACCTTATCTACACATTTAGGTCTTCAAGTGCCCATTAATGTCTTGTTGGCATTGTCTAATTGTTCTTTTGAGAACACTCTTTGTACTTCTGAGCAGGCAGCTCCTAGAGACAGGACTGGCAAAGTAGTTTTCAGAGCCTGTGATATAAAGGGAGCTGATAGCCAAGATGGCTTGTGGGGGCAATGAGCGGGCTTGAGTTATGATCCCTAACCCCCACATAAAAACTTGGCATAGCGGTGTACCTCTGTAACTCCAAATGCTGGGAGGGCAGTAGATATAGGAAGGTCCCCGGAGTTTTCTGACCTGCCAATCACTGATGGATGAGCTCCAGGTTCAGTTAGAGATCCTGTTCCCCAAACTATGGTGGAGAGGAATAGAGAAAGATATTCAGTGTCAACTTCTGGCCTCCATACACACCCAGGCACACATGTGTACAAGCACTCCCTTACATGAACGTGTACATACATAAACATGTACACACACTCACAAATGAAAGGAAAGATGAGAAAGAAAATACAAGGGCTCCTTGTTACTGAGAATCTTAAGAAAGTAACAGCAAGACATTAAAACAAACATAGGACCTTTCTGAGCCAGAACGGGTTGTGAGCCCCTGAAGGCAGCCATGTTTAACAACATCCGTGATACTTCTCTCTCCCCACTCCATGCTCTCTAACACCTCAGCACTCTCTCCCCACAGCATATTCCCAGATGGTTGCTTAAAAAAGGAAGAGTTACTGATTATTATTCAGAAACTATAATATATTATAAACTTCCATAATATGTATATTATACTCAGTCCCATCCCCTCATTTTAAAGATGCCTGAACTAGATCCCAAAGAGATGAAGTGGTTTCTCATGTTCACACTAGTTAGCCTGGAACTGGGCCAGAACTAAGAGTTCTCATGGGCCAGGGTAAGGCTCGGTCATACACAGGCCCAGAGAGAGAGAGAGAACTGAAGAGATTTTCCATCTACTCAAAGGGAAGTTTTCAATCTACATTTTGGTCTATTTTCTGTAGAATAAAAGGACACAGGGTTCTATTATATACATTTTTTAAGAACCAGCTCCATAGGAGGGACCACTCAAGGTGTTTTATGTGTGAAGTATCAATTCCGTATGTGGGAAAAAATTAAAACTCAGTACACATGCACAAATAAAATCTTTAAAAAACAGTCATCAATGCATATACCACATAACTTTTTTTTTAATTTAAGGAAACACTACTTACAAAGCAACGAGAAAACAATATTTATTTTCCTTTTAAATACCACTTCATATATATCTTTAGGAGCATAAAGCAAACAAAGTCCTAACTCGCAGTTACATTTTAGGCATTGACAAGACTGGAAATTTGCCGGTGTTCATGAAAGGATGACTCTGTCTCTCATTGACGCGATGGAGAGAGAAGTCTGACCATGGTTCAGCTCTTCAGTGCTGCTCTGGGCTCCAAGAAGCTTGCTCATTCCTTCTTAAAGAACCGCTTGGCCTCGACTCCTTCATATATGTAGGTCTGAAAGATGGTGACCAACATAAAAGGATGTGCCATTAAGATAAAATCCCAAATTAAGAAAAGCAGTAATGTTCAAAGTTGTCACATATTTTCTTATATTTGATTGAAGCACTTTATGAAGATATAAAATAGAACCATTAAAATTACATTTTGGGTTGTAGACATTTATGTTTTTTGTTAAAATGGGAATTGCTGTGTGCATATGTGTAAATTCTCTTCAGTAAATAGGTATCTCACACACATATGAAACAGGTAACAGTTTACTTATTAAAGCTGTGTCTTAGATGTTACTGCTGGGAAGAGACACCATGACCATGGCAACTCTTATAAAGGAAAACATTTAATTGGTGTTGGCTATTAGTTTGAGAGTTTCCGTTATCATCTTGGTGGGACATGAAGGCATGTAGCAGACGTGGTGCTGGAGAAGGAGCTGAGGGTTCAACATCTTGATCCGCAGAAGTGGACTCTGATTGACACTGAACATAGCTTGAGCGTAGGAGACCTCAAACCCACCCCCATGTGATACACTTCCTCCAGCAAGGTCATACATACTTCAACAAAGCCATACTTCCTAATAGTGGCAATCCCTAGCAGGGCCATTTTCTTTCAAAACCTCCACAAGGAGTAACTAACAGTGACAAAATTCTTGTTCATGGTCACTTTGTCTTTGAAATGTAGTTATAAACCTTTCTTACAACTTACCTGGATTAGCTCATCACCAGAAACTTCACAGATATCTGTCAGCTCCTTCCCATTGTCTACTCGTATGAATTTTGCAATAAGTTTATTTCCCTCAAGGCTCCAGGTCCCCTGCATCACAATAATAAGGCAGCATTTATTATCATTATTATTATTATTATTATTATTATTATTATTATTATTACTGTCCTACATGTCTTTAACACGATTTCCAATTTTACAGACCCACATTCTCACTCAGTGGCCCTATGGATGCTGTGAAGTAATACATTACCTCCATTTTACATCTACAGAGGCTGTGAAATGACAGAGCAGCTCTTCCCATGTCAGAAAGAGGACTGGCCCCGAGCTGGGGGAGCCAAGGCTGCACCGGGAACTGTTAAGCACAATTCTGCTGACAATTGCTATGTGCTGAATTTTAGTGCAGATGAGAAGGGATTATCATTAGTGATAAAATATTCAACAACTACACTGTCATTGCAGGGCTGATGGCTCAGCTGGTGAGAGAAGTTGTAACCCAATCATGAGGAGCTGAATTCAAATCTCCAGAGTCCATGTACAAAGCCAGGTGTGCTCACACACGCCTATGGCACCAGCACTGCAGAGGGCAGAGACAGGAGGATCATGGGGGCTTCATGGCCATCAGCCTGCCTCCAGGTTCAGTGAGATACCCTGTTTCCAGGGAATAAGATGTACAGTAGTGGGTCAGGGCACTTGATGTCCTCCTATGGCCTCTCCCTCTGAAGTGGGCATGTGTGGGCATGTACACATGCACACACACACACACACACACACACACACACAGAGAGAGAGAGAGAGAGAGAGAGAGAGAGAGAGAGAGAGAGAGAGATACTTGTGCTGAAAACATACCTGACTAGAAAAAAACTCTGAGGCAAAAGAAAATCTCAAGATTTTCAAACATTCAAAAAAGAAATGTTTTTTCTTTTGATTTTCAAGACAGGATTTTTCTCTGTAGCCCTGGCCATCCTGGAACTCATTATGTAGACCAGGCTGGCCTCAAACCCAGAGATCCACCTGCCTCTGCCTCCCAAGTGCTGGAATTAATGTGCCACCATCAACCAGTAAAACAGACAATCTCTGTTTTTTTTTTTTTTTTACATCCTGACCAAAGAATCCCCTCCCTCTTCTTCTCCCAGTCCACCTCACCACACCCTGCCCCATCCCATCCATTCCTCCTCTGTTTTTATTCAGGAAAGAGATTCCCATTGATGTCAACCAAACATGGCGGATCAAGTTGCAGTAAGACGAGGCACCTCCCTCTTATTAAGGATGGATAAAGTGACCCAGTACAAGGGGAAGAGTTACAAGAGCAGGCAAGAGAGTCAGAGACAGCCCTGAGAAGTCCTACAAGAAGACACAGCTGTAACATACAGGCAGAGGGCCTAGGGCAGTCCCATGCAGACTCCCTGGTGGTCAGTTCTGTCTCTGTGAGCCTCTATTATGCTAGGTTTATTGATTCTATACGTTTCCTTGGGTTGTGCTTGACTCCTCTGGCTCCTACAATTCTTTCTCTCACTCTTCCACAGAATTCCCCAAACTTCCCCAATGTTGGGCAAAAGGACCATTCTAAGAGGATTATTATAAACTTATTATTCAGTATCATGTTTTCACAGATGCATATTCCAATAAAATATTATACTTAAAGATTTTGCCAGTGATATGTATAAAATAAAGTTTGAAGAAACTTTATTGGCCTCTTCAATAAATGAAGGGGGTTACATTAGTTGAACCATTCCATAAGATAAACTATTTTGTATTGATTTTTAAAAAATCAAGAATGCATCGCTTCTAAAAAAAGAAAAAGCTTACTTTGAGTTCAGTTCCATCTGCTAGAGTATAGTCAAAGTTGACACCGAGTTCAAACACAACGTCAATGTTTCGAAACCTGCATGATTCATGAATAGTGAATTTGTTTCCTTCTTGTTTGATGATCAGTTTCAAATTGTCGTGCATTGCAAGCTTCCTTTTCACCACATTAATGCCTGCGAAAGGAGAGAGATTGGAGAGAACAAGAAATAATTGTGTCACAGAGAGTGTTTCCCTTTTTAAGTCTGTCTTGTTTGCTCATCTTTGTTTTGTGGGTGGAGGAAAAAGAGCAAACAGTGTTGTGTGTGCACAGCCACACTGAGACGCTTAGAGAGAAAGCGGAAGCTCTGGGAGATCCAGAGAAAGGGTTCGAGCAGCTTTTCCAAACTAAGAACATGTAAATTGTAAATGGAGACTGCACTTTGGTTTCCTGACCACCTCAACCCGAATAATCACACAGAAAATATATTAATTACAGTAGTGCTTGGCCTGTTAGCTCAGGATTCTTATTAACTAACTCTTACATGGTAAATTAACCCATTCCTTTTAATCTGTGGATCACCATGAGGCTGTGACTTACTGGTAAGGTTCTGGTATTCCAGGGTGTCTTTCTCCTTCAGCAGCTACGCGGATGCCCCCCGATTCCACCTACTCTCTATCTCTGCTCTGATTTCCCGCCTGGCTTTACTATACTAAGCCATTGGCTGAAATAGCTTTACTCATCAACTAATAAAAGCAACACATATACAGAAGGACTTTCCACATCAGTAAATGAAGCAACAAAATGTAGCACCTTAGCCCTGAGTAATTTTAACAAGACTAACAAACTCTGTGCATCAGTGTTCAGTCAAATTTTAACAAGGTCAAATGGGGAATTAAATAATATGTATTCATATATTAAAGAAACACACGTTCAGTTCTAGACATTTTTAAATTCTCAATGCTACTTTGCTTTCAAAATAGATTTTATTTTGTTGTTGCTGTTTGAAACTGGATCTATGTATATAACCCACGCGGGCCTCAAACTTGCTACATAACCCAGGCTAGCTTTTAACTCACACACAACACTCTCATCTCACTCTTGAAGTGGTAATATCATGGCATATAGCACCATGTTTTGCTTGCTTCATAAATGTATTTATTTTTGTGGCATTTCCGTTTGGCCCAAACCAGAAAATTAGAGACTTTATGATTAAATCCATTATAAATTGAATGTACAAATTTTATAAACTTTAATTTGAAATCCCTAATGTATGAGACATAATTTATGCAAATTTTATTTGGGAAATGACACATTTTTGCCCAATTTGTAGTGTAGGTTGCCAGAGTATTAGTTAGACATTTATAATATAGTCAAATTACACCTTGCAAAAGTAAACAGCTTTTTGTGGTTATTACTAAAGTTAGATAATTTAGAGAAGAGAATTGCATGTAATTTAGTCAAACTGAAGTTTGATAAAATTGTTTTCTTGCCGGGTGGTGGTGGCACACACCTTTAATCCCAGCACTCGGAAGGTAGAGGCAGGCGGATCTCTGTGAGTTCGAGGCCAGCCTGGTCTACAAGAGCTAGCTCCAGGACAGGCTCCAAAGCTACAGAGAAACCCTGTCTTGAAAAACCAAAAAAAAAAAAAATTGTTTTCTTACTTTATTAAAAGCTCCTTGTTGTTTTGCCTCCTATAATCCAGTGTTATTTTAAACTCTGGAAATTATCATAAATCACTAGAATTTTCTTTCTTCAGATGAACACAAACATGTCAGTTCTCAGTTGCATGGCTGCAATAGGCAAGGGAAGAAAACACCGGGACTCTTAACACTTGCCCTAGGGAGACAAACATCCTTCCTAAAGCAGGAAGCATGGATGTGGATTTCCCGGCTCTGCACCATCGCACCTGGAGCCCAGCATCACCAGGCATTCTCTACCACACAGACAGGAGAAAGCAAACACTGAGCCGCCCAGGTAGACAGTCCTTACCCATTTTCTCCATGAATTTTTCATAGTTGTCATTCTGGTATACTTTCCAACTGCCGTCAAATGCCATGGTCTCGGCTGCGTGTGCCCCTGGGAAAGCAAAGATTCGGTCCTGCCCACAAGAGAGAATTTATCCTATTTCTTATCTTTGAACCAATTCATAGTGTGATGTGGAAGTTTAAAGTTCAAGAGATTGCGTGCCATGCCCCTTTACTTTCTCATTGTATGGTTTCTTTGCATCTAAATCTGTGATTGAACTGAAATAAAATTTGATAATCATACCTAGTCAGTCTCCAATTGCACATGTGGGCATTTATATCTCAAGAACTAAGAACTATGGTGGCACAACCTTTAATCCCAGTCCCTGGGAGGCAGAAGTTGGTGGATCTCTGAGTTCGAGCCTACCCTGGTTTACAGAGGGAGTTCCAGGACAGCTAGGGCTATACAGAGAAATGCTGTCTTGTAAGACCAAGGTGGGGGTGGGGGAAGAATTAGGGTCAGGGGTGGTAACACACACCTTTAATCCCAGCCCTGGGGAGGCAGAGACAGGCAGATCTTTATGAGTTCTAGCCTGGTCCACATAGGGAGTTCCACTCCAGCCAAAAACCAAACAACAGAAATGAAATAGACACACACACACACACAAAAAAATCCTAGATAATATTCTATTTACAAGTTCAAAGTGCACACTCTATAGCAGTATTATAATTTGTAACATACATCAAACAACTGGGACATGAGACTTAACAGCCCAAACTTTTCCCAGTAGCAGTTGCCTTAGGAGACTATGTGAAATGCAATTGAAAATTTAAAGTTTGAGTTGATTATTGGAACTAAAAGTGTGTTTTCATTTTTTTCTTTGTTCCTAAGATTACTTGCGAGGAAGTTAACCTAAAATTGAATCTATTATATTTGCCCAAACACCACCATTATCATGTTCTGGAACAGTGTCATTACCCTGAGAAGGAGCTGAGCACAAGTTAAGCATCGGGTTTTCATTTCCCCATTCTAAGACCATTAAGTTCTCATTCATTTTCTACATCTAAGGATGTTTCACACAAATAGAATTATGTAACAGGTGGCCGTCTTTAGGTTTGAATCTTTTCACTAGATGTGTTTTAAGTGTTTGCAGATAAGTTCTTTATTCTTTTTAACATTTTATTCTTGATTACCATGAGTAAATTTTACAAATTAAGGAATCCAGCATGGCATTTCAATACATGCATAATCAAATTCAGTTTTCTTCCTTTCCTCCTCCCATGCCAACCTCCAGTAAAATACTAAGCTCAATGTTTATTAGTTAAAATTATGTTTTCCAGTATGCCCTTTTGTGTTGTACTTAGGGTTAGCAGACTTTTTTTATATAAATATCTCTTGTATTTTAAATGTAATTGGTCCCAAAAATTTCATACTGGGGAGTGACACTATTAGGAGGTGTGGCTTAGTTAGAGTGTATATGACCTTGTGGGAGGAAGTGTGTCACTGTGAGGGTAGGGTTTGAGGTTTACTATGCTCAGGATAATGCCAAGTGTCTCAGTCAGTTTCCTGAGGCCTGCATATTGAGATGTAGCCAGTACCACTTCTGCCCGCATGCTTCCATGCTCCCCACCATGATGATAATGGACTGAACCTCTGAAACTGCAAGTCAGCTACCCAAATTAAATGTTTTCTTTATTAGAGTTGCCACAGTCATGGTGTCTCTTCACAACAATAAAAATCTCTAAGTCAGAAGTTGGTATCGGGGACTTGGGTGTTACTGTGCTAGGCCAGACAATGTATTTGTTTGAAGGAATATGGACCTTCGGGCTGAAGATGAGAAAGGCAGTTGAACACTTGAAGAGCGATTTGATGGGCCATAGTAGTAGGAGCATGGAAGACAGTGGTGCTAAACGTGATTTGATGAACTGTGGGGGACTTGCTCAAGAGGTTGCAGAGGTGAGTACATGTACGCTTCCTAGAAATATTTCCTGTGATAGTTTGATGAAGAAAATGGTTGTCTTCTGCCCTTGTCCGAAGAGTTTTGGATGAATTCTGGGGACAGAAGAAATCTCAAAACAGCCTAGTATAGACTCCATCGATTGGTTACTAGGGTTTATACTTGTAAAGATTTATAAAGAAAAGGAGCAAGTTGAGCATGGAAAATTACAAGATCTAAATTTTTTTTAGATCTTAAGATTTTGAGGAGAAAAGGAGACCAGAAAGAAAAATGGAGCTAAGTCTTGTGTTCAAGGAGATAAACAGATTAAGAAATGGAATACAGGGAGTGGTGACCTCATGGCATGATCCCACCCAGCTAACTTTACAACTTGTGAAAAGGAATTAAAGAAAACCTTAGGTCCAGATATGGCGGTGCATACCTTTAATGCCTACACTGGAAAGGCTGGAAGATCTCTGAGTTAGAGGCCAGCCTGGTCTACAGATCCAGTTTCAGGACAGACAAATGTAGGCAGTGAAGGACAGAAACACAGTGAAGATGTAATTGAATAAAAGGGTTATGTTTGAACCACAGTAAGCAGCAGAACTTGGCAGCTTTGGCAACATGGTTCTGGCTTTAAGTTAAGAATAGAAGAAGCAGGTTATGGAACTTGCCTCTGTGACTAAAGAAAGCTGCTGAGGCCAGGCATATGTCAGGCATGTCTGTGAACAAAGGCCTAGTAGAGAGGCCATTGTGTGAAGCTATGATGTTGAAGCCTGAATTGCTTTGGAGACTCCAAAATGTGAGAGATGCCAGAGTCGTGGGATACCTGCCAAGGAGAGCTGCTAACAGAGAGTAGAACCAGCCCAAGAGAAAGAAGGGTGTTGCAGTCAACGAAGTTGAACAGAGTTGGAGATTTAAAGGGTGTTTTGACAAGGAGATGCAGAGTTTAGAGTTTTCCCAGCTGGGTTTTGGTCTCGCTTTGGCTCAATATTTTCTCAGTATGTTCCCTCTCCTATGTTTTAGAACGGTAGTGAATATCCTGTCTCGTTATATGTTGGAACTATGTGATCTATTTTTTTATTATGATTTTATATGGGATTACAATTAAGACATTGCATGAATCTCAGAAAGGACTTTGAACTTTGGACTTATAAACATTGTTGAGACTATTCGACTATGGGGACTTAGTCCAACTTGAAGGTGGACTAAATGCAGCTTGCATTTTGATATTGTTACAAGCTCATGGTGGACAGGGAGTGGAATGAGGCAGTTTGAATGTAATCAGCCCCCATAATCTCATAGGGAGTGAAACTCTTAGGAGGTGTGACTTGGTTGAAGTTTGTCCTTGTTGGAGGAAGCATGACACTGTGGGGGCAGGGATTGAGGTTTCCTGTGCTCAGGATACTGCAGAGTGTCTCATTCTACTTACTATGGCCTGCATGTCAAGATGTAGCCAGTACCACACTTACCTTCACACCTCAGGTTCTTCAACATGGTTATAATGGACTGAACCTTTGAGACTGTAAGTGAATGACCCCAATTACATGTTTTCTTTATGAGAGTTGCTGTGGTCATGGAGTCTCTTCACAGCAATAAAAACCCCAACTAAGACAATATCCCCAATTTCAGGGACACCTTCCAACACCGTGAGAGTCACAAGATTTCTTTTCGTCTTGAAGATTGATAGACAACTAAGCAAAGTCTCAGGAGGTAGAAATCTCTCTGGATCATCACAAATCTCTCAGGATCAGGGTTTACTGTTTGCCATGTGGAGAGAGAACAAAAGCCAGATATTTAAACAAGATGGTTTTTCTCACTTTCTGTTCCAAAGTAAATAGATGTCATAAACCATATGATTTCTGAGTCAGAAGCCATAGCCCAGTATGGCGGGGGTGGGGGGGGGACAAGCATGAGAGACCAGCCAGCAGTCTACACCTGTCCCCCCTTTTTTGCTGCTGTCTCCAGGTTATAGGAGACCTGTGCTGGAAGAGGAAACACTTGGAGCAGGAAACAGGAAGCCTTGTTGTTAACAGGTCTTAAGATGTTAATGACTGACAAGAGACTATTACTATGAATGAATGTGTTCAGAGAACCTCTCATTAACTCAAGGACAGCAGAGAAGCTGTATGTCCTGCTAAGGATTCTAACCGCACCAGAGAAGAGGATTCCAACAACTCCTCACACTGCGCTGGACAACAGAATCACAGTTGAGAATTTTGATTGTTGTCCATTGGGCACCAGGTTTTGTGAAGCTGTGCTGCATTTGTTCTTGTTTAATGAGCACATTAGAAAGAAAACTGCCTTCTACTAGATTCTTGCTTTCACTTTGAAAGAAGAAAATGTCAGAACACAAGCAAGGATGGGGAAGATTCTAATAATGGAAAGTTCTTCTCATTCATAGCCTCAGATGCAACAAAAACAGCTGTGTCACCTTTGTGTTCTCAAAGATGATGAAACCTTATCATCTCCGAGACATCACAAACCTAGCATACTTTTAATGTGGAAGGAAATTTAAAAGTTCACGATGGTTCTACAAGACGTGTCTAATCTGAGGACCATGTGCTTGTGCCAGGATAGTTACGAATGCCTCCCACTTTATGATTGTAAACTTACTTAAAATATTATGGGATTGTTTTTTACAATCTTTTTGGAAAGTGGACAGCTGAGTTTCCATCATGGACTCTATAAATAACATCATGTAGTCACTGTTGCAATGTCAGATTATAGGCTAAAGCCTGCAAGACTACAACTCAGGCAATACACATACAGAGATTCACGGATTTAGAAACCTATGTGTGGATGGTGGTGGCTGCTGAAGGAGGGAGAGTCACTGTCCTTTGGGGACTTGATAGTAGCTTAACATACTTTAATATGTAGACCTACATCCATGGGAACCCTAGTTAGGCTTTCCATTGCCATGAAGAGATAGCATGACCACAGCAACACTTATAAACGAAAATATTTAATTGGGGCTGGCTTACAGTTCAGAGGTTTAGTCCATTGTAGTCATGACATTAAGCATGGCAGCGCGTAGACAGAAACGATGCTGGAGAAGGAACTGAGAGTTCTACATCTTGATTCATAGGTCTGTATTCTACACTGACTAAGCATATAATCACCTCCCCCCCTTCACCCACACACACAGTGACACACTTCCTCCAACCAGGCTATACCTACTCCAACAAGGACCACACTTCCTAATAGTGCAGGTCCTAGG